CATCCATAGGTCGTTTTCTTGGGAAATATGCAGTTTCTCAAGGCATTTTTTCTTTTTTCATTTTCTTTCTTTTTTTCTTTCTTTTTCTGCCTTGGCTGTTGGCACTTTTCCTATGAGAAAGCAGGAGAGGTCGGGGGCAGACCCTCAGTTTAATTTCCAAGTCTTGAGTTTAGCTTAATATAGAATTGTGACCGTGAAAGCAGCTTTGGTTTACTGGTGGCATAGCACTCAAATTAAATTTGGGTTTAGCTAAAAGCCCTCAACGTATAATGAGGATTACAAGTTAGGGATCGGTCTCCCCCTGAAGTGTTCGATTTCATTCTGATGGGCATCTGGTAGGGCTCACTGCTTACTGGGGGCAGAAGGCAATGCTTTTCATCTACCAGATCCCGGAGTCCTCAGGTACCCTGTGTGCTGGCTTTGCATGGGGGTCTTTATGCCGAGTGAATAGCTGTGCATTTGTTGTAGAATCAAGGACTAAATAAGTAAGGGGGAGAGAAGAGATTACCCTTTGAGCACCCCGGTTCCCACTAAACCAAAGGTAAGCTCTTTGTAACTGTTGATCGGGGGAATAAATCCTCCTTTGTAATTCCAGAGATGCAGGAAGCCTCCTTTGCACCAGCTCTGCGTGCACATACAGTTTCTACTAACCTTGCAAGTCTTGCAGAATGCGAAACTTTTCTGACCTTAATTGCTGGATTTTCTCCCCCTCCCCTCCAAATGGAAAATGGAAGTTACCTAGCCGGTGCGTTACATTTTCCATTCAAAAGGGTGCCAAATCATTTACATTTCCAACTCATCCCGTTGTAACAAAAACAGGGTGGTTTTGGTTAACACATTGGAAGCCCCGCCATTTCGTCACGTTCCGTGTGTGAAACCACGATACAGAATGTTACTGCTATCCTTCCAGACATTTTTCTATTAGGAATCAGACACGACAGCTGTAGATGGGCGCTAAACACTTTTTGAGGAGACATAGCCTTTCTTATTGATGTTCTGTATGGTAACACTCAGCTTAGCGCACTAAATAGGTCTGTGCTGCTAGCTGCTGATGATCTAACATGTATGGGACAGTGATTAGCAATACATGTTTGTGCTATTTTAGCAGAAAACCCATGCACTGTTGGTAGTGAATTGAAGGCTAAGTGACAAAACTTCCTTGCAGCTGTTCCTGTTGTATATTCTATGAACCGAAAACCGGATTAACCTTTAATTACCCTCAACGATCTCTCAACCCCGAGACAACATTGCCACTGCTACCAGTAGTATTTGCATATACAGTTTAATGAGAGAAACATCTGTTTGCATATTTGGAGTCATTACTAGCATGCAGATAAATGGATACTTATAGTGAGATAGGCATCCAAGCTAATGTCTCTTTTTTTTTTTTTTTTTTTGAGTTTCTTCTTCCACCCTCTGGTTCTGCAGGACTTGTATTAATTAGATAGAGGCTGGCTTGAGCCCACAGCCTTGTGCAGAACACAGAAATACATCAAGACCTGCCAAACTGCATTTCATTCATCTAGGGAAAAGACACAACTCCCGGGCCTTATAAAACATATGTACATATATGTGTATGTACATGTGATGTATGCATGCATGTACTTTAAACCAAGCCGTGTTCAACTCAAATATTAGAAAAATATAGGGCTGGAGAGATGGCTCAGTATAAAGTGTTCACTGTACAGGCATGAGGATGTGAATTTGGATTCCTGGAGTCCATATAAAAAGTCAGGACTGGTGGGTATTAGTCAGAGGTTTTGGAGACAGTGGTCTTGAGGACTTAAAGACCAGTTAGTCTAGCAAAAAATGATGAACTTCAGATTCTGTCTCAGAAAATAAGGCGGGAAGCCTAAAGGAAGACACCTAAGCCAATCTCTGGCTTCCATGCATACACGCATGCATAAGTAAATGCACCCGTATGCACGTATGCACACATATGCATACATCACACAAACCTATAGGCATAAAATTTAAAAAGTTTTGCATGGTTTCTTTGGAAACAACTTACTTTTGCACACAGCTCTCCTCTGATGTTGGGCAGTTGTACAGCCAACAGAAGTCAAGGTCCAAACTAATAAAAACCTTTATTTTTCTGTGAGACTCACAAGGGTCTTATGGGGTTCAACAAATTTGATTATCACATCCTCCAAGCCTAGTGCCTTTTTCTTTCCATTGTCTCTGAACTGGGCTGTCTTTATCAATGGCTAATACTTGAAGGCATTTAAAGCAGCCCCTAAAGCTACTTAATACAGTTTCTTAGGAAATCCATCAAACTACCAATGGAAGCCACCATTAAAGGTTCACGCTTGTACATTGTGTATATAAAATGCTGACTTTATACAACCTTTATCATCGAACCTCCATACTGTTTGTACATGTACTTCAACTATTATATATAGGACTTCTTTATTTTTCAATTGATCCAAAGATCATAAAAGACTCCTTAGAGATTTTCAGGCCTTTAATTTAATCATGTATTTGTTAATGTTTCTTTTGATAGAAAGACAAAAGTACTGGTTCTTCATGATTTTTATTTATTTATTTATTTTTAAATATTTATTTATTTATTATGTATACAATATCCTGTCTGTATGCCTGAAGGCCAGAAGAGGGCGCCAGATCTCTTTACAGATGGTTGTGAGCCACCATGTGGTTGCTGGGAATTGAACTCAGGACCTTCGGAAGAGCAGGCAACGCTCTTAACCACTGAGCCATCTCTCCAGCCCCCCTTCATGATTTTTAAAATAAAAAGAAAAGGAACTTTTTCTAACTTCTGTCTCTTCTGACTGTCTCCTCTGACCCCAACACATCACCCTCAGCCCTCCCAGAATTCCCTGTTCATCCCTGAGTCCAGCACCATCACCCTCAGCCCTCCCTGAATTCCCTGTTCATCCCTGAGTCCAGCACCATCACCCTCAGCCCTCCCAGCATCCCAGTCATCTTAAAGAGTTGCTCCCAATGAGTATATGGTCTCATTAGGATGGAGAGGATTCTTAGCTTTCATTAGTGATTCTACCCTCATTAATTTAAACTAAATGGTGGGAGTGGTGGTTGGTGGGGCAGTCAGATTAACTAGGGAACACTCTGAGCCATGGAAAAGATTTTTTATGGGCATGTACTATTCTGACACCCGTGGATGTTCTGAAATTAATGTTGGTCTGGGACTCGGAAAGGTCTTTAAGAAACAGGATTAAATCAATTGGTTTGTGATTGAAAATCCGTTATTTGCAGGCAAAGGTGTGTCATGAGGCTATGGGAAGCAATTTTTTCTTTATGTATTTACAGCATCCTTTATACCCTCTCCTCTCATCTATACACTATTCATTTGCACTCCTAAAAGCTAAAAGAAGGTTAGTTCAGCTAGGACCGTTTCTACACCAGGCAGATCTTTACCACACTTTCTTTGCAGAACTAGACAATCTGATTCAAAAAGACATTTTCAACCCCTGGTGTGAACTGAACCCTGGCCATAGAAGGATTAGGCTTCCCTGTGAGGCACAGTTAGTTTGTAGGCTCACGTTAGCCATCTTTCTCCTACTACTTCACAATAAGTAACACTTCAATACTTGGTGGAAATGCATCCCTTTGACTGTAACCATACGTATTGCATGTGGGTGCCCAGCACAGAGAAGGCAGTCAATAACAAGACATGTCTTTTGTGTGGATTTTCAGATGCTGGATTATTGCAGCATACAGCATCCTATTCCGTTAGTCATTTGTAGATCCCCAAGGGATGCACTTCTTTCAGTGACCTCAATACAGATTCTAGCGTATGACCAAGTTTTAGAACAGAGAAGTCACTCTTTGTTGCTAGCAATAGTCCACCCATTGTGTATCTTCAGAAGCCTCTCTCTCTCTCTCTCTCTCTCTCTCTGCGCATGAGTGTGTGTGTGTGTGTGTGTATGTGTGAGTGTGTATATATAAACAAACATCTTGGTTGAGGAGCTCCACAAAGGAAGGGATGCTTAGCAGACAATTGGAAACTACTAATCAGGTTTTGGCTATATTATAGCTTTCTTCCTTTCATGTATACTAGAATTCATTTTGGTAATGTTGTGTATTAGTTGACTTACATGTTAACTCAACCCATAGGGACTTGCTGCCTATCTGGCTGCTTTCTAGGTTCTAGAATCTATTATGGGTACTTTTAGGGAGATACTGGTTGTTGGTTCACAAATGTATTCACTACAAGAGAGAAGGGAAGAGATATTCTGGGGTGAGGACCCAGGTTGCCCTGTGAGCAGGGGCCATATAGGATAAGGCAGCCCCATCTGCCATCTCACCGGCTGGGATTGCTTTTGCACTTTGTCCTCTGACTGGGTCAGGACCCTTGGAGAGTGGTCAAGCCTCTGGCTGCATGAGGAGATGGAGGAACGTAGGCCTTGAAGAGATGGATAGCAAAGAAATATGGAGCAGTCCTTGGGCTTCCAAAGACCTATCTACCTGGGGAGGGGGCTATTTAACACCGCCGGGATTCCTCCGGCGTGAGGGAAAATACTAGAACCCAAAACTGGGAAGCACAGAAAGTAATGCTAGCGAACACTAAGTGGCTTAAAATCAAGTCACAGGTAGTAACTACATATGATAGGGTATCCAAACCTGTGTTTTTGAGGAGTACGTGTGGATAGGGGATCAAAGAGTTCGGAGACCTTGAACACACAAGATTCACAATATTTTCCAGGACAGGAGCCATTTCCCTCCCAAAAAATCATTACAGGAACCATCACCTTGGGGAGTCTGCAGAGAACCCCACACCCATAACTATGTTAAGAATCGTTCTATTGACAACCTGCCCCACACCCAATTAGCTGTTATCTGTTAGCGGAACCCGCCTCACATTCCAGCTATCCAGGGAACTAGGTGTGGCAACTCGTGACTTTTTGGCCTACCTGACCGAACTATGTGACCGGGACCACGCGCGCCCTGCCCCCTTAAGCCCTCATCCAGGGGCTATATAAGCAGCAACCAGGACCCTAATAAACGGAGGCTGTAACAAACTTAGCATGGCCTTCTCCTTGTTTCCTAGCCCATTCTCTTCCAGATAGCACTCCTCCGTGACCCTGGAGTAACTGATTGCAGGGTGGGTTACAAACCCCTAGACTCAGTGACCCAACCCAAACGCAATCGACAGACAGGTGAGCGAGAGTCCTTGCCTCCTTCTGTTGTCTCCAATCCCCCCCCCCCCCCCGCCCCCCTTCATTTTCTGGTCATGGTGGACAGCTTGGCTATCCGGCACGGTTTCCAGGCCTTGAAATGTGCTACGTCGTTGTGTTCCTCGGGACGTAGTAGAGGGGGACTGTCTCTACACCTATTTTTCAACCTTGGGCTCTCTTTTTGCGCTTTGTGATATTTTAAAATTTTACTTTTGTGAATAGTTTTCTGTACTTATTTGGTGAGCTGGGACCTCACTTCGAGGTGGGCCCACTCTCCCCGTCACCGCCCCTATTGTTTGTGTTCCATCTTTATTACCTTTATCTGAGTGGCTGGAAGGCAGAGCCTGTGTCTGCATCTGTGTGGGGATGCTTGTGAGCGAAAGACTGAAGTATGAAAAATGAAAGTAGCGTTCACTTTTTTTCCTATTTATTTATTTATTTATTTATTTATGATTTCTGCCTCCTCCCTGCCACCACCTCCCATTTCCCTCCCACTTCCCCATCAAGACCCCCTCCCTCATCAGCCCCAAGAGCAATCAGGGTTCCCTGACCTGTGAGAAGTCCAAGGACCACCCACCTCCATCCAGGTCTAGTAAGGTGAGCATCCAAACTGCCTAGGCTCCCACAAAGCCAGTACGTGCAGTAGGATCAAAAACCCTTTGCCATTGTTCTTGAGTTCTCAGTAGTCCTCATTGTCCGCTATGTTCAGCAAGTCCGGTTTTATCCCATGCTTTTTCAGACCCAGGCCTGCTGGTCTTGATGAGTTCCCGATGGAACATCCCCATTGTCTCAGTGTGTGGGTGCACCCCTCGCGATCCTGAGTTCCTTGCTCGTGCTCTCTCTCCTTCTGCTCCTGATTTGAACCTTGAGATTTCAGTCCGGTGCTCCAATGTGGGTCTCTGTCTCTGTCTCCTTTCATCACCTGATGAAGGTTAATATTCAGGAGGATGCCTATATGTTTTTCTTTGGGTTCACCTTCTTATTTAGCTTCTCTAGGATCGTGAATTATAGGCTCAATGTCCTTTATTTATGGCTAGAAACCAAATTGTTTGTAATAGCCAGAACCTGGAAACAACCTAGATGCCCTTCAATGGAAGAATGGATGAAGAAAGTATGGAATATATACATATTAGAGTACTACTCAGCAGTAAAAAACAAGGACTTCTTGAATTTTGCATACAAATGGATGGAAATAGAAAACACTATCCTGAGTGAGGTAAGCCAGACCCAAAAAGAGGAACATGGGATGTTCTCACTCATATTTGGTTTCTAGCGTTCACTTTTGATTAACTTCTGTTTGTACCCTGTTACTGTTCAGGTCACCGAGAGGAGTCGCTGTTTTATACCCTGTGAACTTCTTGGTTGGCCAGGAGGGGTCGCTGTTGATATCTCTCTCAACAGGGAAAGGGTGGAACTTCATTCACCTTCCTTCCCAACCGCTTTGGGAATGGGCAAGAGAAGGCAAACCAGAGAGTCTGACTTTATGATGAAGTGCTTTGGACCCAGGGTTCTCCAGAAACATAAACTGAACCGCACCCCCCCCCCCCAAACACACGCGCGCTCGCACACCTTGTGGGATGGACCACAAATAAGCTGCAGAAATTGTCTGGGTCCTGCCACTTATTTTAGGCCAGAGCACCGATTGTGGCAATAACATATGAAAGAGGCTTCTGAAGATGCTAGTGATTATGATTCACACTCTAGAGAGGAGTTTTTGAGGCATGGGAACAACAGCGACCAACAAAAATCTCTACATGTTCACTTTATCATGTGCCTAGGCTAGGGGATGCATTTGGCTTTCCTTCATAAAATGGAAAAAAAAAAAAAAAGAACTCAGCTAAGAGAATGTTTTAAGCTAACCACAAGACTGGAAGACACACTAGCATCAGCCTGACAACTGTGAGTTTAAAAGGCAAATGATTATAAAAGCATTCATATAATAAAAGGAAGGGTACCGAAAAGTCCCAGTCCTATCCTTTAAAACGGCCAAACAAACCAACCAAAACCAAACCCAAACCGCAAATTCTGGAACATTTTTGTACCTTCGTAATAAATTAGCATTTCAAAAGTACTTTTTACCTGCTGAGATGGTTCATTCCGCTAATATGGGTAGCGCTGTGGACTTGAATAATTAGTGTAAATTGCCTTTGAATAACACGGAGCTGGGAACAACTTTAACTCGCGAAAGCTTAATGCCTCTTGCTGGACAGGGTGAAGAGTCCTTAATGGGGCCTGGAAAAACAACTAATACCTACAAATCAAAGGGGAAAAGCCGTTTTTGATGCATGTGTGTGAGAGTGTGAGTTTTAAACTAAATTGTTAACACTTCTCCCTGCTGAGGGTCACGGATTAGTGAAGCTGGGAGACTCTTTGAGAATCTTTCACACTGACCAGGGGAGGTAGGGGGTTCCAAACACAAGTGTTTTCTTAACCCTAATCCCTACCTTCTTGACCAGGACAGCACTGCATTTCCCTCTAATTAGGTCAGGAATTAGAAGGTGGATAAATGCGTCAGGGAAGAGGCTAAAGTGATTAGTCCGTTCTTGACTATGATAGCGATTTCTGGCCACTCCTTAGTTCTTTCCAAGATAATAACTTTTTCTTAAAAAGAAAATAAAAAAACTATTCCAGCAACCCTCACACATGTATTTATAGGTGCTGCTGATTATCTTTGGGCAAGGCTGGGTCAACATCTTGACAAATGATTTTCCTCTCCTCTGCCTTTGCTTTCTTTTCATCAGATTTTCCAGCGCGTTGAGAAACTTTTAGAGCAGTTTCTCATCTGAACCAAGTATGATAATTATTTGTGCAATCTGAACAAAATCTAATAACCTAACCTAAAAATGTATTCGCATTTAAATGATCCTTTCAGTGAAGGAGGGAAGAAGAACTTGACGCTTAGGAGCCAAGATAAAAACCACTTTGATGCATTTTCTGCATATGAATGCATTCTACTCTGCGTGCCGATGTTTTTTTTTTTTTTAAAAGATCTTGTAGATATTCATGGTGGAATTGTAATTTTAGAATTCAGGTTGTATAAAGCAATTATTCAATAGTTTCAACCTGATGAGTTGCTAGCAAACTTGACTGGTGATGAACTCGCCAGGGTTACCTAGGTGCTGAAGGCAATTTCTATATGAAAATTCTCGACAGTTATGAAACAAAAACTTATTTATTTATTTATTTACTTTTGTGTGTAGATGGTAGATCCCACAGTTGCATCTGAGGTTTTCTCTGCTCTTACCCCTCCAGTTTGTGCGTGTGCTGCACTTTTGACCACCTATTACAAGGCTTACTAAGCCTAAACACACAATGAAAGTAGAAATGTCATAACAATAAAAACAAGACAGGAAGTCTTTCCACCTGAAGGGTATCTGAAGAGCCATGGCATTGTTCCCCTCATCCTTTCCCAAGGCTGTAGCTTCGGTGGGCGAGAGTAATTATGAGCATTTGTAACACCTGATTTTATTTTCTGAGACTATCTCTGGAGATTATAGATGGGTCAGAGCAAAACGGAAGCAAACATTGGGACTGCGGCTAAGTGTGGAGTCTTCAGGGTCCATTCCTGAGTTAGGTTGATCTGGCCAGGTGTAGACATAGTTATGGCTGGCTCTCTTCTTGGGAAGGCACACTTTTATTCATTTATAAACATTTTCCCCCCCTCTGAGCTGGAGGTTTCCCCTCTCCAGACCTACAAATGTCACGACTGGTTTAAGGTAAAGCTTTCTGCACTGTGCCTGATGATGCTGTACAAGATAGACCACGCTGCATTAGCTGGGTTGCTGTTGCCCCTTGACCTCACCAGCTTTGCTTCCTGTACTGAAGTAGATCTAAAGCAGAGCTGGTTAGGAGTGTGACCTCTATAGTCAACCATCTCTGATTGGCAGGAGGCGACAGAATACTCTGCTGCCTGCCACTTCCTTTCATGGTTAGCCAGGAAAAGCCAGGCACCTTGTGGGCTCATACCACATTTAAATCTGTTCACCCGAGCCTCCTATGTCTTGGTGCCTTTTGTCTTACTGTTGTTCGTTTTGTTTTATTTCTAAGAGCAAGCAAACAATTGAGATCTATAACATGCTTGTGTTAACATTCCTCGGGCTTGCACACAGGGAGGGAATAATGTATGTATAGTGAGGGTTCAAGTTTAAATTTCTGGGCTACAATGAAGACATCTGAGGAAGGCAGCCGCACCCCTGGACTGCATTTGACCACGCCCATCTTTGGGGGGTCAGTGTGGGAAATCTCTGTGTGGACAAAATAGGAAGTTTCAGCAGAAAGGGCACAGCTGACCTAGTAAATTTGGTTTAGCCTTCTTTATCCAGTGTGGAGCTCTTTGAATCGCACCTACTACTTCTGTTCTACATTCTGGTCTATTGTTGATGTTATTTTTTTTTTTTTTTTTTAACATAGTAGCAGGGGCTAGCGGAGACCCTTGGATTCTAACCCACTCTAACCCATAGCAAGTGGCCCCTGTGCTGAGTGAGGCCAGTCCAACCGCCACCTAGGTGTAAGCTGGGAGACTTCATTCAGAGGCTCAAATCTGATAGGATCAATCAATAGGTCTCCCAGCACTAATATCTGCATGTCAAACTGTAAACTTGATAATTGTCAGAATACATTTAATGCTGCCAGTGAGAACACCATAGCAGAAGATTAACATTTTCTGTGAATAATTACAAGCTCGCCCGGTTCGGCCTCTTATCACTTTATACCGAGTCAAGAAAGTAGGAGTGATCTTTTTTAATTTGTAATTATTTCACTTCGATGCGAGGTCCAGCGGCCTTATTCTCAGTCTTCCGGGGTGGAAGGCATTGGTATGCAGGAGTCATGCCGGAAGACACAGTACACTATCAGAGGAGGACATGTTTGATTATTCTTTAAACCAACTCAGAGAAGTTAATCTCATTGAACTTCTTTTTATTCAACAAAAGAGTTGGCTGTTTCCAAGTCTAACATGACTATAATGTTCATTAAATGGACTTCTCTACACCTTTAAATGGATTAACTGCACATCTCACAGTCTAATTATTATACATGTCATTCAAAAAAAATCACAGATCTAATTCGGGGCATGATAAAGGCCTTTCTTTTGTGGCCATGGAAAAGACATTGCAGTAAATGGATATGATTTTTATCGGAGCCAGTGTCATTTTTTTTTCTTTCTTTTTTAAAGGGCGCATGTTGCTCCTGGAAGGTGGGAGGCAGGGGATGGCGGGGAACATACCCAAGTCATTTTATTTCAGAGATTTAGGATTGGCCCATGCCGAAGCTCATTTCGGGCTCGCAGTGCCAGGCACCTTGGAGGTTCCTCCCGCCCACGCCTGTCTGGCTAATGACTTCAATCTGCCCCAGACAGCTCGGAGATAGGTTATAAATTATGGACCACCCCATTGGGTCCTTGGCCTTTGTTCTTCTCCAAGTTCCTTTTCCATAGAACTTTGTTGGAGGGGGAAGAAACCACTCTCATTTCAAGCTCTAAGAAAACACAACCCTGTTTTCATGTGTGCCTTTGACAATAACTCTCTGGGCTCTCTTTTTCTGGGGTCTAGGTGAGGGTTGCAATGATATTTCATATCTGAGGACAGGCGCCCTTTCTACCCTCCGCCCCCCGTGATTCAGGGTCTTTCTGTTCCGAGCAGAGCAAGGCTGAGTGAGTTCTGCTGCCATTCATTAATTCCACTAGTACTGATGGAGAGATTTCTATGGGGCAGCCATTGTAACCTAGGTAGCCAAAGGTGGGGTGGGTCTTTTATGCACTCAGGAATGTTTCCTGGAGACATTGGCATCTATCCATGTTAGTAAATTCAAGGGAGCTTTAAGATGTCCCGAAAAGGGTCCGAAAAAGTCTGTAGTTCAATCAGAAGGTCTTGCTTTGACATTGTGCTGTCTCAGCAAATGTGTAGTTTTTTTTTTTTCCTCAAGTTGTGGTCAATAGGAATTCACTTTGGAGTTGTGGGTGAGGAACTGGGCTGGGGTGAGAATGTGGGGCAGCTCTGCTCTTCCTCTCTGGTACAGTGGAGGGAACACACACTGCTCTGGGTGGCAAGGGCTGCCCTGGCACTGCCCCTCCCTAGAGATATGACCAGCAAGTGGCTCAGACACTTAAGTCTCAGTTTCCTCATCTGAAGACAGAGATAGCTACACCCATCTTTCAGTGCTGTGGGATTTAGAAATAACAGACATAAAAACACAAGCATGGAGCCCAAACAGCAGTTGTCAATAAATCAAGTTTTTTTTCCTATTGACTATTCCTTTTAATTGTCCTACTGTTGAGCCTTTCTCTGGCCCAACTCCTTAACGATCTGCAGTGATTAGTGCGGTTTGGGAACGGCCTTACTTCATAAACAGAATAGAAACCCAAAGCTTACTTCCACTCCCAGTCTTTGATGTTAAAAAAACAAAATAAGACATTTTTTGTTACGATATGTTTTAGTTTGGCTCGAGATAGAGTTCTGTGTATCTTGGGCTGGCTTTGAAGTTGCTACTTGACCAAGTTTAATCTTGAACTCCTGATCTTCCTGTCTCTACCTCCCAAGGGCTAGGAGCACAGGTGTGCACCACCATGACTTCCGCCTTTGCCTTTTGAAGGAAACGTTTTAACCCACTCAGAGTAGAAGGAGGGAGGATGTAGTGGTGACGACTAGGGACGGTATGTGGGTTCGACCGGGCGGCTTTAGGACTCCTGGCCATAGGCTTTCCCAGCCAGAGGCTCCTTTTAGGCTCCGTGATCTCTCGTTCCACCTGGCAACCCATTCCCATCTCAAACTTGCCCACTATCTGCAGTATAACCTTGGATTACGAGTGAGGCTGGCACGGCCTGGAGTCATAATGTGCTGCCCTCAAGCCTGGGTTGCCAACTTCCCACCTTTATCTGCCTCCTGATGTTCTTTGTTCCTGGCATTTCATAGAGTATGACAGCAAGGGGAAAACACACTCACGGAGCCTGTGCAGGGCTGAAAACTCTTTCATGAATCATTTAAAATCCATGGTGTACCCAACAGCAATTATCAGCATTAATTGCTCCTGAAAATGTAAAGAATTGTGCTACAGAGAGTCAACATCAGCATGGGACTGTGTGTCTCCTCTTCACGCCTTGGGAAGGGAGCTTTGAAAGCGGGCACCAGGATAGAGCAAACACTGGCAGACCGTGTGTTAGGTACTGTGTCCCTGTTTCCAAACTAATAAATACTGAATGAGTAAATAATTTTGTTTTCTCTCTGGGTTATAAAGATTCAGTTGTATTTGGCCAAGTAACTTCGGGGAATATCATTAAATACTTTTCAAACAGTGCTTCTTGGAGACATATTCTGCCGTTGGACAATGTCTACAGACGGGATGAGAAAGATGTGAAAGAAGTCTAAGGAAGGAGCGGGCGTGATTCTCCAGAAAAAGCTGGGCACAGATGCCAGTTCTGGGAAGCACTCGGGCATTGACCACTTATTCATCCGCTCACCTTCCAGTACAAAGAGCAGCTGGGAAGCCAACGTAAAATGGAACATTACATTACTGGTTGTTAATATCTGATGCACACAAAGCTAAATATTTTATTTTCATTTTATTTTTAATTACACGTATTTGTGTGTTTGTGTGTGCGTGTGGTGTGTGTGTGGTGTGTGCAGGTGCCCCCAGGTTCCAGAGGAGGGAATTGGATCCCCTGAAGCTGGAGTTACATGAGCTTGTTAGCTGCCTGGCATGGGTGCTGGGAACCAAACTCAAATTCTTAGCAACAGAAGTTTTTGATTTTAATCACTGAGCTATTTCTCCAGCTCCCATACAAATCTGTTATTTAAACGATAAGTAGAAAAGCAGATATAAAGATCCGACTTCTGAATATTTAAGAATAGAAGGTTAGCTGATGTGGTGGTGCATGTTTTTATTCCCAGTACCGAGGAGGTGGAGCCAGGTGGATCTCCGTAAGTTTGAGGCCAGCCTGGTCACATAGTTCCAGGCTTGTTAGAGTGGGTTACATAGTCAGACTTAAATGAAAAATAAAAAAGACAGAGAAAAGAAAACAGAAAAGAAGGCTAATATTTTACCTGTGTATTTATATGCATATCACGTTTGTGATGTGGGCATGTGAATCATATACATAAAAGTATTTGTGTTACATATGAGAGGATGTCAAGACCAAAGGAATTAGCCTTGGGTACCATTTGTTAACCAGAAAGCATCATATATTATTGCTTCAAGATTTTTCTCTACAGAGGCGTTCAGCAGTGGCTGTTTCCATCAGAGATTCATTTGATCTTTGTTATTTTGCCCAGCACTCCTGAAGGAACAGACTGCAGCTTCAATTGGCACATACAGTGTTCGGAGACCCGACACCTGCTTCGCTGATCAGGAGGGAGAAGGATCTTTGTTCAGGAAGTAACTTACTGAACAATTAACATGTGGAAGCTATACCAAACAGTATGTGGAAATGATAAAAGTTCACATTGAGTCTGCAAAGGGCGGAGGCTCATTCTTCCTGCGAGGAGACCGTGACAACTCTTGCTGATGGAATAAATGGGATCATTACATTTCAGCCTCCAAGTAATTATCAGAAACAAAGCTTTGTGAATTCTTTCCTAATGGGGCCACCTGTCACACTTCAGTCTTTGTGTACAATGGCATTTCATTTCTGGAAACCAGGGCCCCGGTATAGCTCTTCCAAATGTTAGTGACCATGTCCTGATTCCCTCCCTTGTCTTGCTATGATAAATCGACGCATTTTCAGGTGGTTTTCTGTCCTCCACCCAACATGTGTGTGTCCAAAGTGCCTAGGGCAGGTATAAAAAGCTACAGCAGAACCAGGTGTTTCCTGATGCAGAGTCGTCCGTGTGAGGGTGTGTGTGTGTGTGTGGGGGGGGGGGAGACAACGCCATTTCTCACCATGATCTCTCTGGCTAAGGTTTGTTGCCAACCGTTCTGGACTTGTGACACTTTATCAGAGGGCTGCTGAGATCCAGGACAGGAAGGCAGCTCAGTGTGGGCTGTGGTTATGGAACTGCAGCTTCCAGAGTTCACTCAAGGCCTAAGCCAGGACACCTGCATGGTTTAAGACTTCTCAGGCTGATGGTGAAAGCAACTTGGCCCCTAAGTGTCTGGTGTGACTCGCAGGTTCTCAACTATATAGTTGTTTCCTGGATCTCTGTAGGATATTCAAGATTTCCCTACACTAAGGTTATGTATGACTCTATGGTTTGTTTGATCTTTGAGATAAGAAGAGTTGAAAACCTTGCATTTTATGTTAATTCTGTCTGGTCTTATGGTGTTTTCATTTTCACTTCCTTAGAGACCTGGCATGAGCTTTTGAGGATCCAGAGGAAGAAGGATCTTTCCTCCAGCTTCCAGCTTTCTTCCCTGGCAGCTGGTATGTGTAACTCACACAAGAACAGTTTGTGAGGGGAATGAATTCGTGTGGTGTTTCCAAATGGTGGAGACTTCCTGGCCTTTTCTCTAAGATGGACACTGTTGTGTGGTTAGTTCAATGACCCCCTAGAGTGGTAGAAATTCTCTGATAACCTTAGACCCCCCTCCCCCCGTGGCTACATTCTGACAACAGTTGTTGATCTGTTAAAAACACACTCACCTGGATAACATGCAAAGGTCTGTGTATGAATTCACAGGCCTATAAGGAACTGACCTGTTCTACAACATGTGGATGGGGGTGGGGGAGTGCAGGTGGGTGTGGGTGGGAGACTGTGAATGTCCCTCACTTGAGTGACAATTATGAAAGTGGTTTTCAGAGGTTTGGGAGTGAGGGTAGGGAAATTGCATTTGAGCCCAAGTTCAAGTCCGTGCAATCACAACTGTCTGATCCACGGGAACACTTGCCCTACCTAGGGAATTACAGTGCTGTAGGTCTGTGTGGATCGGGACTGCAGCATCTCTGGGAAATATAATTTCACACTAATTAGGACTTCTCACAGCCTGCTTCCTGAAAGGTTCAGGTTTGCATTAGTGATGCAGATTTTAATCAGCAATCAAGTGCTCTCTCCAAACACAGCAAGAATCCCCCACATTCCCTTCTATCAACAAAAGATATCCTAGCTGCAAGCTGGACCCAGCAATGGTGAGTGCCAAATCGGCATCTTAACCCCAAAGGATGCCTCCAATCTTCCAGTCTTCTGGAACATCCTCAGCTCCTGTTTCTGTTCTCTGGTTAGACACAGTTACGCATTGTGATTCTGACCACAGCCCCTAGTTTGACACCTGTTGAAAAAATATTGGAGCCATATTTGTAACTAATCACAACCAAGATGTCAATTTAATTAATCTGACAATAGAAATGCCCCAGAGATGGGGCCCATGCCCAGGCCGGCACTCCTAGTCAAGCCTGGGCTTGCTGTCTGTTACCCGACAAGCCCGGTACAAAATTAACACTAAATATAAGGTAATTTAATTAACTCCTCCCATCCCAGCAGGCAGAGCGCAGTGCTCTGGGCACCCCAGGCCTTCTGAAGTAAGAGGGTGGCACCCCCAGCGGGGAAACACTTAGGCTAAGCTTTCATTATTTTAAGTGGGTGGTTTGCAGCTAAGGAGATACATTGAAACTCTTTAGGCCACTAAAGTAACAAACAGCACAGTTGCTCTTACCCTTACAGATACAGACGTGGCTGGCAATAAACTGTGTGAAATTCATTTATATGAATACATACCTTGTAAGAGTCAGGGTCCCTCAAGGGTTCGCCACTGGATATGTGGACTCTCTCAGACAAAACAAAACAGGGAGGAGGGATATAGAGAGAGGCAAAGGCAGAGACGACAACGTGGTTTAAAAGTCAGGCTGACAGCCACCCTACCAAAGGGAAAAGGCTAAGACAAATATGAGAATTATTTTGTCTTAAAGACTTTTGTTCAGCTGACTGATCCATCCATCCATCCATCCATCCATCCATCCATCCATCCATCCAGGAGACTGCATATCTTGAGTACTCTACCAGGGATGTACATCCCCAATCCATTTTATCTTTATTAGGGAACATCTTGCCAAGTTTCCCAGGCTGCACTTGAACAGGTTTCTCTCTCGCATAAGTGTCTCAAGTAGCTGGAATTACAGGCCTGTATCACCATGGCAGGCAAAGGGTTAATATTTTTAAGAGACATATCAAAGTCCTTTTATATTTCCAAATTTCAACAATGTTGACTCCCTAATTCCTTCATCCCCAGGATGAACACCAAACCGTTTAACTATTTTCCCAGAAGCCAAAGGACAATGGGCACAAAGAACCAGGTTGGCCTGTCAGGAACATAAAGAGAAAGCAGGTAATTGGAAAAGTCTACAGTGGCCTTGCAATGGTGAGCAAGGTGAACCTTTAACTCACACACAGATTGCCCATGGAGGTCCTGAGGGGAAAGAGGCTTTCGGGGCCTCACGGAAGGGTTTGCTGAAAGCCAGGTCTCTGTTCTCACCTGAGTCTCGGCGACAGTCCACATGATGGATGATGAGGACTAGCTGCGTGTGTGGTGTGCGGGACCAGACTCTCTCCCTGTGAAGCCAATTAGGTCAGACTTCAAAACAATAAGGAGGTAGTGGCACATGTCAACTGTGAATGAAATCAGGAACTTGGGTCAGGAAATACCAGGGTCAAAAAAAAAAAAAAACCCACAAAACCTTATTAAAAGGCAGATCAGCAGGATGGACCCAAATCATTAATTATGTTAATTTGCAACAAGGAAATGAAAATCTTGGGAGTAACTGGAGGGGTGGAAGCCTAGCCTTGGGTTCCTTATACAGGGTGGGGGGCCTTGGGTGTTAGTTGCTTTTCTTTCATGAGGGAGTTGGAATATAGGATGGAACATCACCTTGGTACGTTCGCTTGGTACGTGAGCGCTGGAGACAACACTAGCGGGTACTTCTGAGCAAAGGTGCTTAATGGCTTGTATGGCTAAGCCAGGGCTGTGCTGAGAGCCAGCTGTCGCCTCTGACAGCGTCTTTGGAGTTCTAGGACCTGTCAGAAGGTGCTCCCGCTTCCTGGAGGTTGGACCAATAGATGCGCCCAGACAGATGTGGTTTTAACACAAAGCAGCTGTTGTGAGCACCTTGGACACAGGAAGCCGGGGGCTTGGCCTTTCTTCTTCGTGTCTCCTGCTGCAGGGTTGCCTTGGAGCTGCTCTCTCACTGACAGGGTCTTGGTCAGAGGTGGAATTCAGGATACATTCTGAGATGTGATCACTTTTTTGTTGCTCTATTTGGCTTTTGAGGCAAACCATGCCTCAAATCATGAACTCACGATTTTTCTGTCTTCTGAGAGCGGAATTACAGGTGTATGGCTTGCTGCCTGGCTTTGGGTGCAGTCCCTTTTACTTTTGCTGGCTTTTGGTTCATAGCCCTGTGTGAATGAACCAGAGTTTGGGAAGTCTCAGGGAAAGGGAGGGGGATCTCAAACAGGGAGGCCTGGAGATGCTCAAAACATCTATTCCTTTAGGTACCTGCAGATAATGAGAAAATACAAGGTCCTGGGGGCATCTAGGGCCCTTGTGAGGACCCTGCTTCTAGAGGTGCCTGACGCTGAAGGTCATTTAAAATGTATGAGGAAGTGGGCGAAGTGGGGGAGGCCCCCCCAAATAGAGCATTGCACCACTTAGGTCAGCTAGCAACAGGGAGCCTTGATCCTGGCAGGCACAACCCCAGCCATTGAGGGACAGGAAGCCAGAGAGGTGCCTGCTCTTTCAAAGGAGAAAGCATAATTTGTAACAAGCCGTAAAACAACAGCCACGACTTCTAGTAGATTTACAACGCCTGAGCAGCCGAAATTCACAATGCTTTTTCTAAACTCACTTTGTTAATTTTCAACCTGGTAGTGATTAGGATGAAAAGTCCCCAGGGTTGGCCTCCAGCTTGGCTTCCAGCTGCAGGGATGGGGTCCAGAGTGTTTTTCTAGCGCAGGTGGATGCCGGAGCCCAGGCAGTTCAGTCGGGTCCTCTTTTCTCTCTCCCCATCTTGCCGGCTGGCCTTGGAACTCACAGGCTAGGATTTGTTTGTTTTGTTTTAGAATTCTAGTGTTTCAAAAATCGCCCATCATTTATCACTCATCTGAGCAATTGAGGGTCGAAGCTGGCTGGATGTTTTTACCTCCCAGCTCCTCCTCTCTCCCCCTCCCGCTACCGCCCACCCTCAGGGGAAATCAAGAAAAACAAGATTCTACTTGTCCAAGCCCTTGGAGACTCCTCAGAATCGCTGGAATCGTCACAATAAGTGGTAGTAATAGAACCATATACAGGGCTGTAAATACAAACTGTTCCGTGGAGTGGCAGAAAATAATGAAGTGATTAGGTGGACTATCACCAGCACCTGTGACTGACTGGCGGGCACTTCTGCCTGGCTGCTATTGTTTGCCAGGCTTGGAAGTTGTGGCCCTTCTCACAGTGACCCCACTTCCCTCCCATGCCCGAGTGATCTGACGGGCCTAGGGTGAGGACGTGGGTGCGCGAGCTCTGCCCTTGGGAACCACAGTGGAACAACGAGAGTCCTGCTCACCGGCCCATTAGGGTTAATGCCACTTTAATTAGCCATTGCCGGGAATCTGAAAGTGCTATTTAATAGGCCATTTCTAGCTAAACCCGAGTCTCACAGACAGACCCAAAGCATGAAATCACTCCAATGGGAGACGGCTGAGAGAATGGAGATTAGAGAAACAACTCACTGTTGGTTCTGAAGGGAAACGACCATTGGAATGCTCACCTGCTGTCTGGTACCTGCTCCATCGGGTATTTTTTTGAGCAGAAGTTCCAAATGGCAGGAGAAATGCTATTTTCTTCACAAGATTGCCACGAGGAGATTCTTCTACCAACCCACTTTACAGATGTAGAAGTTAAATGACTCATGCAAGGCCACAGGGTCAGGTTTCCCAGTTAGTACCAAACACACACACAGTGTTGTTATTACTGTCCTGTCTGGTGAGCTCCAGACAAGGCTGTGGCCCAAGGGATCGTCATAGTGTATCTGACCAGATACACCAAAGACTGTGCTAAGAACCTCAGAAAGAAAATGGGTTCTCACACACTTGGCAAGGACTTGGGAGAAGCTGTTATTTTCCACTGGCAGAGGAAAGGTAAACGCAAGGTATCGCCCTCACAGACACAGAAGTGCACGTGCAGATACACAGACATACAGACATACACACATATACACATACAGACATACAGATATATACACACAAACAGAATACACACATACACACATACAGACATACACAGACATACAGATATACACACATACAAATATACACACACATACAGACAGACAGACATATAGACATACAGACACATAGACATACACATACACACATATAAACAGAAACACACGCACTCACTCAGAAACAGGTACACAAAGACACACAGACATAAGGCACGTTCACACACACACACACACACACACACACACACACACACACACACACACGAGTGTTTCTGAGCTTCCTCCTACCTGGAGTCTGAGTCCACAGAGTTCAACTTAAGTCAAAGGCCACTTAGGGGTTTGACTTTTAAGCCACCAGTGGTGTAGAAACCCAGTCAGTTGACTGTGTTTTGCTAATTTTATCTCCAGGGCAGGCAGGGTCACTGTTTGGTGCTTAGGGAAGCTAGGGAGAGCATCTTACTGGTCAACATTAGACAAGCCCCCTAAACTCCTTGCAATTCAACTTTCTTTTCGGTAAAGTGTGGTGGGGGTGGGGATGCAGGGGGAAAAGACCCAACTTTTTTCTGAGGAGAGTTAAAGAAACGAATGACTTTTCACAGTTAATTACTGTTATTTTCTCCAAAGAGGATTTGTCTGAGGAGCTAACAAAGCTTCCAGTTGAAGTCTCTCACCTTGCTGGCCCTCCTTTGTGGCCCTGCCTTTATCACTGATAATTTTGTCCTCTGGTTCTTAAAACAGGTCTCTAGATAGCATAGGCTTCAGGGACCCGGAAGCTGGATCCACCCAGGGTTACCTAGAAAAGGGGTAGTGGCTTGAACATACTGCTACAGCCTTGCCTGGCTCAAAGGTGAAGTTTCTAATCTATGGTATAGAGCCCTGTGTGGGGACTCTCCCTAAAGCCCGTGCTTCTTTAAGATGGGAAATTGTGATACCCTAGAATGCCTGCCTCAGTCCTGGGCAATCTGGGTCCATTTATTATCCTACTTGTTCAAGACAAAAGCAGGCAGGCCTCTGTGATTCCTTAAAGGGAACTACTAGTTCACAAAGTGCCCAGCATAGCCTGGGATATTTGTTGAACACATGAAGTATACACTAAGTGCTGGCCCTTAGAGCTCACGGGTGAGAGAAGTCTGCACGACCCAATGTGGACAGACGCAGTCAACAAAAATCTTGTGTGAAAAATGAACCTGTGTTGGGGGCTTGAATCAGAAACCCGCCATCCTTTGGGGGGGGGGGAGCTGGGGAATGTGAGAGGGCGCTCCACCCACACAGGAGAGCTGCCGTTCCCAAGTTTGGTTTCTGCTTGCTGCTGTGCACCTGATAACAAATGGTATATCTTCCATTGCTAGTCTCCACCATATCCTAATTTTCTCAGCTTGCAAACAATGCCTATGTCAAAGAAGGACAGTAAACACAAGCAGAATCTGGCTAGGGGGTGAACGGTGCCCCAGGCAGGGTTAAGGGGAGATGTTCAGGCCCAGATTCCACATGCTGTGTAGACTCCAATTACCCGAGGACTTAGAGATCAAACAGCCCAACTGTGCAGCACAATGAAGGAGGAGGTCTTAATTTTACCACGTGCTACACCCTTCCAGCCAGACTGTGAGAAACAATGCGTTCCCTTTATGTCCTCCTGAGCACAGAACCTTCCTGAGATTGTCTTATGTTATCCCAGCAACATCTCTCTAACGTGGGCAGAGGGGAGACTTACGGCGTTTGAAAGAACTGTGTGATTTCCTCTGGCCTAGGGTGAGCATCATGGCAAAGACAGTTTTAGCAGAATAGCCCGCTCCTACTTGGCCTAGGATGGGACAGGATTTTGGTATGATTTATTTTTAGTTTTAGATCTATATTTTCAAGATATCTTGTTGGTTTATGGGAAAATGAGTTTGCATGAGCTGAGCTGTGGCATGTACCCACAGGACTGGATATATAGCACACAAGAAAGCTTAGAAAATAGCATGGATCAGACACTAGAATTTTGCAAGTTTTTTTTTTCTTTATGGTACAAGCAAGATTTTTAAGGAGTATTGAGTCTGGCAAAAAGCTAGTAAAATTTCCCTTTCAGTTTTAACATCGATCAATATTTGGGAAATTGCAGTCCTTTCGAACATTTAAGATCAGGAAAAGCAGAAATTGTTGAACTTTATCTTGTAGACATTTTAATATGCATGCCACACTGAAACCCAAACCCACCGTTTTTATTTATTTTTATGAACCAGCATTTTTTTTGTTGTTCTTCTAGTTTTCAGATAGTGGATTTTAAAAGTTTCAAACAATATGCAAAAAGATAAATGTCCTTGGGATTTTTCGATACAGGACTTCACTGTGTAATAATCAGAGTCTTCACGTTGTTACTCTACACAGCTTTTGCTAAACACAAGCACTGGAGACATCTCAAATTGATCAATCAGTGTTTCCATGGAAATAGATAACCCTTTGATTAGGCACGAGAAACTGTGTTGGAGAGAGATGTTGGTCATCTCAACTCGAACGTAGGAGCAGAATCAGAGCTCAGAAGACAAGTGTGTTTCTGTAGGGTGAGCGTTTTCTATAGAAAGCCTGCATGGCTAATGGTGATAAGTATTAACAGGGAGGGGACATACTATTGTAGGATTTTTAATTTTGGAAATAAGAAAGTAAACCACTTTGTACCTGATGGTCTTCAACACACTATTGGAAGCAGTGCTTCCTATTCCTAAAGGCGATAAGCTACTAGCCTAGAAAACCTGGGGTGAGAGAAGGTTTCCCCGATCTGTGAGTTCCTAAGCAATTTATCTTAATTTTAGATATTTTCTCTTATTCTACCACTACACTACACCCACACACATTTAGTGATTTTTGTGAAATCCAGAGCTAAATGTCTTGTATCACTCGGAGCTGTCTGGATATTACTTTTCACTGATATTTTCTACAAGACAAACTCTCCAAGTGTGCACTCTATTTTTGGACCGCTTACAAGAACAAACCTGCAGATCTTTATTTTCTATCATTTCTTTCTGACTAAATCAATATTTAGCTGAAATAGCCCCAAATTAGAAAGTTAAAAGTCTGATGGTTTGATCCGTGTGGAATGCACATCACGGTCCGCAGCCGAACACCACCGTCCTCCTGCCGGTGGGTAAGAATTAAGATGTCGCAGGCAGGGATCAGCACAGGGTCAAGTGAGGCTTGCTTTCCGTGTGTCAGGGGGCTCAGAGTAAGTTCTCTGGGTTATAGAAGTGGCGTGGCCCCAGGCCATGGTTTCTACATACAGGAGTGCTCTCTTCTAGGGGAAAAGGGTTACAAAGTCACCGACTTACCTTGCTTGTAACCACAGCTCTGCAGGCACGAATAGCTCCAATCACAGAAAAGTCTGATTTCACACGGATCCAGGGAGAAACCATTTCTCTGATTAGTTACGGCTTGGTTGATTCTGACACAGGGGTTTTGAGAAACCCCATGCATGCTTTCTTTAGTGGCTCCTCTCAATTTAAAGGCTGAAAGATGGGCAAGTGTCCAGTGCCTGCCCGACCGGGACTGGATTTCGCTGTAGTAAGGCTTGTTCAGAAAGCTTTTCCTACGACACAGCACAGCTGGACGGTGGCCACTAGATGGCGCATGAGAACCATTTGTGTCAGACGCTCCCGCAAATGGTCAGGTCTGTTCACAGAGTCCGAAAACAATTCCTCCCAAACAACTTTTCTAATAGGGTATTATCAACATCCCAGTGTTTACACGAAACCTAAATGGTCCTGATTTGCGTATTTACTGTAGGGGGAATCCTCCACGGAAGATCCTGTATCAGATTGCGCTAGTAAACGTGGCATTTAAATCAGAATTAAGTCAGAAAACGGAATTAAGACAGCAAAGGGCAATCTGTATTTACCTACTTGGTACTGAGGCTCCAACAAAAGTTTTCTAAGTGTCTACCTTGGGGGGATGTTACCTATGCTTCTTAAATGCTAAAGGAACATTATTCCCTGAAATTAATACAAGTATTAAAACAGAAAGACACCATCAATTTTACACTGTACAGTTACATCACAGACATGTTAAATCTATATACAGTTCTGGAATTTCAGTAGCTGCATTTAATCTTTTTCTGTATATATTTTTTGAATGCCTGTTGGCCCAAGTCCTACTGTTCACAAGTGGACAACAGAGGGTGACCTGAAGGAGTTCTTTCTTCCCACCACAAGCCTCTCTTCCCATTGAAGTCAGGGCATGAGGTTTGGTGGCAAGTGTGTTTATTCACTGAGCCATCTTGCCAGGCCTTTATTTCTTGATGTAGAACAAATCTGAATGTCAGGGACCCCCCTCCAAAAAAAAAATCTCAGGACACAGCTTATAATTTTTCCCTCTTAGAGCCAAGGATAACATTCTTTGCCTTAAAGAAAATATTGAAAGGGACAGAGTTATAGTGGAAGCAGCTTTCTCTTCTGTGGTTTTGTCATCAAATACAAAAACTACGACATTATTTCTAAACCTATGATTTTTTTTTCTTTTTAAGACAAAGTTTCTCTGTGCAGCTCAGGCTGTGTCCTGGAGCTTTCTCTGTAGATCAGATGGGCCTTGAACTCACAGAGATTGCCTGCCAAAGTTTCCCAAGTGCTGGGATTAAAGCTGTGCACCACCACTGCCAGCCTAAACCTATCTTCTGATAAGCATTGATAACAACAGGCCTTATACAAATATTCAGGGTGAAAACTCTTTACACCCTGTTTACAGGAACTGTCTTTAGGTTGATTTCAGATTTCTGAGGAAGACTCAAAATCTCTGAAATATGTTCATTGAGAGTCAGCAGCCTAAAAAAAAATTGGGAGCAGTTGCTCCCCTTCCCCCTGTCAAGATAGGTGTGATATTTCTTCTGAGCCAATCTGGAGTCCAGAGTAAAGAATGGCCTCATTTTTAGATCACTGGCTGTTTGTTTGAACTGAAGAATTAGTTGCATTTCAGAATAAGGACATGCCTAATGAAATGATTAAAACACACAGAGCATTAAATTATAAGCAGATGGGAGAGAAGTGGGTGGGAAGAGGTGGACCTGCTGGGAACCTGAGTCCAGGGGAGCTGGCAGTGTTGGACTTTCCTCAGGGAAATAACAGACAATTGCTTAAGCAACAGCGTTCAAGAAAACTACCTAAGGAAGACAACCCCCTCTCTCTCTTTCTCTTGTGAGGGGGGATAGCAATGAACAATGCAATAACTTCCCCCCAAACGATAGCCATTAATGAAAGAAAATGGACACTTAGCATGGCTCCTGGAGGGGGAGCCAGGAGCTGCTTTGGGGGTGGACGGTAGTGGTGAGGGGTCAGGATCAGGAGAGGGGATCAGGTCGGAGTCACGACAGTCACAGTCTGGGATTCTGATCTTCATCTTTGGAAGAAAGAAGTCGCTTCTCTAGCTGTTGCCTGGCTCCGGTAAATTTATGAAATTTACCACTTAACATTGCTGCTCTGTATGCTTGAAAGGCTGGGGCTTGCTGGGATGGAGTTTACAGCGACTGGAGAGAAACTCTGAAGGGACATGGCGTGAGTTCCAGAGTGTGTGGACAGTCGCTAGTGCCACTAGTGGACAAGGTCCATCGGTGTTTAATCTCAGATTTCTATCAGGACACTGCATCCTTGGAAACCACCCCCCCCTTTAAATATTAAATATGTGCTGTGCCTCTTCTCCTCTGGGCATACAACAGCGATTCCCACCCATTCGAGCGTCTTCCTGAACTGACTCTCTCTGAGTGTAGGTTAATGGATGTAGTTCTGGAGATAAAGAGAATACACTCTCTAGGATGTTGTCTAATTGAAAAAGGCTTCTGTTGAGATGTATGTCCTCTTCGTTATGGCCGTCTGCAAGGGAGAGGACAGCACAGTTCTCCTGACTGTAGCTTTTACCCAGGGCCAGCGAGGCTCTTCACGAGGGCAAGGGTGACGTCCAGAGCCAAAACCAAGTTCTCTCTCTCTCTCTCTCTCTCTCTCTCTCTCTCTCTCTCTCATACACACACACACAAACACACACACATACACATGAAGGCGTGTATGAATACACACACACATGCAAGCATGCATGAACATACATACACACGAGTACACACACACTTCCTGGAAAAGGCTTTTGTACGTCTCTTGCAGGTAAGGCCCTTCCCCTCCACCTACCTGTCCCACGTCTTGTTTACTGAATGCCTACATCTGTATGTCTATGTCTGGCCTCATTGTGGGAAGCTCTCTGGAAGTCTACCAATGGCTGCAGAATTATCCTTCTCAACATTAGCCACCAAGGGACAGTGTAAGGAACTGATACCCCACCACTCATTGCCAAATCAGAATGTCCAGCCCAAAACCTACGAGGAAACATTGAATAAATAAGTGTTTAAGACATGCGTCCTAATTCTCCGTGCTGCCAGGGAAGTCCAGCTCAATAGGAGGCTTAGCTATACCTGTGCTGGCTACTTAGGAACAGGGCTTGCTCCTCAGATGACCACCATGAAATCTTAATTTTGCTTTGTTATTTTGTGTGTGTGTGTGTGTGTGTGTGTGTGTGTGTGTGTGTGTTTGTATAGGGGCCAAAAGAAAGCCTTGGGTTTCATTCATCAGCCATGGTTCACCTTGTTTTCTGAGATCACTGTCTGGTCAGTGAGCTCCAGGACTCCTCCTGCTTCTGCCTCAATACTGGGATTACAGGAATGTATTCATTTACTTGGGTAGGTTGGAGAACATGTCATGTAGGAATAGGAATTGTGGGACTTGGTTCCCTTCTTCTACCATGTGCATTCCAGGGATTGAACTCAGGTTCAGGTTGCCAGGCTTGGCAGCAAGTGCCTTTGCCCATCGAGCCCCTCTGCTGGCCTGTGCCTAACTTCTGTTATATGGATTCTGGGGGACCAAACTCATATTTGTGGAAGTACTTAATTAACAGAGTCATTTGCTCCCCTTTTCTCATTAATTTTTAAAACTGCTGGATGTATCTATCCTATAGTAGGCCTTTCAGTCCTGGGAAAAGAGATCGGCCATAGATGGTAAATATAATGTTTATGTTTGAAATATAAGGGTGTATCTATTGAATTGCTGCTCTAGAGAAGAATCCTTGGTGATTTGACAATATTGGCCTTGCTCCCTGAGAGATGAGAGAGGTGTTTTAAAACCTTCAGCTACAGACTAGAGTAGCAGACAGAATCCCGAAGCTAGGTATGGTACGGTGAGAAAATGAATCAGAACTCATTTCAGTCACACCTGACCAGTAAGGGCAGGTGTAACAACCCACTGTGGTTAGGCCTGGGAAGGAGCTAGAGGTCAGTATGGAGCTACCACCTCAACCTGCAGGATGAGGCCCATACCTCTTCCTGGGCCATTCTACTTTCCAGAGGCTCAAAGGGAGACCGCCAGCCCTACAGTCAGAGTGGGAGGAACTCATGTATGCTTTCATCTGAGTGTCTGGCTCTGCATGCCTTTGTGTAGCCCTAGAGCTGTGGCCTATGCATCTCAGCTGGATTTCTCAGTCATGGTCTTGTTTGCCAGCTGTGATAAAATACCCTGACCAAAACTACTTAAAGGAGAAACAGCTTATTTTGACTTACAGGTTCAGAGGAATGCAATCCTCGATAGGTGGGAACGCCTGACAGAATAAACAGGAAGCTGGCAGGTCACATTTCATCAGCTCTCAGCATGAACAGGAAGTGGGGCAGGACCGTAAAACCGCAAGCTCCACCCCTAGTGAAGAACTTTCTTCAGTAAGACCCCACCTTCTAAAGGTTTCACAACCTCCTTGAACAGAGCCAACAGCTCTTGCTTGTCTTTGGTGGGGGAAGTGTTTGGGCTGTGGGTTTTGCTGGTTCACCACTCCTGACATGTAACATTGGGCCTGTGAAGCTTTGTTGATTCTCACTGGAGGTTTGCATCTGCATGGGCAGGCTGTCCCTGGCTCTGGAGAAGCTGTCTTTGAGGGTGAGGATCTGGGGGTTCACAGCTCCCAACACCCAATGGCAAAAGGCACAGAAGAGCAGCTGATGGAATGGACCCAAGACAAGCTTTCCCATTCTCTCTCAGCTCCCAGCATGCTTCTCTGAGGAGCTTATGCAGGAGAGGGTAAAGGTCGCAGGTTCTGAGCTCCATCCCTAGAGGGACTCTGCTTCTCTGGGCAAGGTCAGAGCACTAACCCTGTCACTAAGCTTATCAGGCGGTCCTGGTGCTAGGAGCCCAAGGACCTCTAGAGAGAAACAAAGGCCAAAAGGAAGCAGAGTTCAGAGAAGACCAACGTGGCTTAGGGATGCTCGGGCAGGGACATTAAGTAAGTCATAATTTTTTTTTATAACAATGAATATGTCTCAACCAAGGCCATCACACTCTTCAGAAACAAGAACTGTTCTCCAAGTCTGGGTGCTTGTGAGGAGAGGCAGAGATCAACTCAGGCCAAGCATTCTGCCTTTGGAACTGATGGCTGGGAAGATGCCAGGAAGCTCTGGTTAGCTCTGAGGCCTCCAGCAAGGAGCCAGGACCCTGCCCAACCAGAAGGAGGCTCAGGAGTGACTCACATAGCTTCGGGTCCAGTTGCCTAGATGGGAACAGCCTTGGGTTTA